TTGCGAACAAACTCTACAATCAATTAATATATGATTTGACATACGATTTGTTTTTTGTATCGAAAAATATATAGTCATTAAAACTACAAAATACAGTCAATTATCATAATAATCGTCATTTAGTTATCATTTTATTTTTCATACAATTTTTTTTGTTCATTTGCTTTCCGTTTTGCTATAATAAACACAACTCTATTCAAACCCATTGTGTGATTGGCCTCTCGTATAGCAATCACACGTTTAGACAAACTATTCGTTAGAAAAAACACTTTTTTTTGTAATCAATTGTTTTCACTACAAAAAACTCTTATCCCTAATAATCGGCAAAATTCTCGCGATTCTTATACACATTACTAATCCGTTTGTCCGTAAAATACATTTTCATTTTTGTTTCACAACTTTTTTTTGTGGAAAAAACACTTTTGAGTAGCGATTGACTGATCGATGGATAGAAAAAACAAGAGTTTGATTGAAACGACTTATGGATTGAGTCATACGATAGAGAGATATATATAGAGAGAGACACAGAATATTCTGTTACATAGTATTCGTATCGTTATTATTCACATCATATTATGCATGGAGTGGTCGTGTGGCCGACGAATGCATCAGAAAAATAGGTTTTCTTAACGACAAAAACGGCATTTTGTTTGACAATTAGTATCCCATCTCTCGCGTGGGACAGGAATTCACAGAATATTCTTAATTAACAAAACAATTAAAATACAACTCTTTTAGCAATTTGTATGCAAAGTAATGGTTTGATTGGCACAACAAACAGGTAATCAAATGAGAGGTTATTATATAATCATAATTATATATATATAATAAAAATGATTTTAAAAACTAGTATTAGTTTACTCTTAAGATAGAGAGGAACGGGAGGTAATAGGGACTGACGGGACAGACAGACACATAGATATATTATCCGGGTATTACTCGATTTGTTTGTCATGTAATATGCGGTGTAAAACACAATGAGATTCACATTGAAATCAATTAGTTGTTGAAAAAACACGTTTTCTATACACAATCTAATTCATAGATAATTTTATAGATAATAAAAGTCATCGTAAAACATATATAATATATATTATATCTCATAAAACAATCAAAAAATAAAGTCAAAACTTGTTTGCATAGTATAGGTCTAAAATACAGCCAAAAATACATAATTTCTATGTATTTCACTGAATTAAAACTCCATTAGTTTTGCCGTATTTTTACTTTTAGTTTCGTTTCATTTTAATTCAAAAACACAAACTCTTTTAAACTCAAAACTACTTTTAAAACTGAAACACAAAAACTACTTTATATTACAATGAAAATCATAAGCAATGAGTAAAATATTGGTATCGATTGTACTGTCATTTTTCAAATGAGTGAGACGTTTGTGTTATGCAAGTAATTATTGCTTCACTATATCTCTATTAAACGGTATACCCCTCTACACACACACCCCCACCCATTGGGGGTGACACTAACAGCACGGGCCCACCCATTCAATCCCTAAAATATCTATAATATATTTCAAATATATTATATAATAGTATTTATATATATATTTTTATATATAATATATATTACAAAAAAACAAATAGTATTTAATATATAATTATAACAAAATTGTCGGTCATTTGCATAACAGAAAAAACACTCAAAAATTATGTTTTGTTTCGCTTTTTTCAATCACCGAAACAAACGCTTCAAACATATGATTACAACACTTCGGTAACCAAACCACGCGATTGAGTCTTAAATTCAATGTCAAGATCTCTACTCTTTTTTACACTTTTTCAATATGATTGGCCTCTCGTGCGGGGGCGCCGGCTGTTGGGACACTGGCGGCGCCGGTAGGGTCTGATGTTTGGCGTTACTCGCATTACTGGCCGCCGCCAACTTCAACAACGCCTCCGCCCCTCGCATACCCTCGTCGTTCGAGTCGTTATCGTCGGCGACTACCGGCGCCGCCCGTTTGAGGCCACCTCTGGGCGCCTGGACTTTGCGTCGATTACTGCCACCAGTGGCCGCACTCCTGAGGTTATGGTCGGTGACAGTGGGCTGTTGCTGAGGCTGCTGTTGTCCCGTCACTTGTATCACGTGATAGATCTGCTGGCCCTCTAAGAGCGCGCTATTCCGTTGATAGTAGTTATGATCACCCGTTGGGCTCACGGTTACCGTCACTACCGGCGCGTCCAAGTCGTCCACATAGGCGTCGGGCAGCACCTCCTCCTCGCACTCGCTATAAGTCACGCAAAAATACAATTAAATTAAGGACTCATTCATTCAAAACGCCGGTTCCCGTACTTATCGCGAACGGCGGCGCCGGTATTGCCGGTGTTGTTGACGTTGGACTGGAGGGTCAGCATCGAGACCGCGGCGTCCGTCTCCTTCTCTGTAAACATTCAAAACAC